ATATAGCGAACTCCGCTGTCTACGTCACGTCGATCAACGAGAATGGTGCCATAGAGAGCAAACCTACGATATCATCACCTAAATCGCAACCGAAGTCTTTGCAAGCGAAACCGGCGCCGGTCATAGCGAACGGTGTTGCGGAAACGAAAGAAAATCGAGAAGAGAACGAACCGGAGAAGCACGAACAAGACTCTAGTGAGAAGTTGAAGGTGACAGTGGAGTGTGAAGTGAGAGTGGAAAGTGAAGTGAGTGGAGAGAAGAGTGACGCGTTGAGTGTTGCTCGCGAACACCTCAGTAACGGCCGCTGTGAGAAGTTGCTGGGCGAGCAGCCTGACAGGCCAAGGCCCGCCGCCGATAAACTCGCTCCTGGAGATAAAGGGTATGTTTATTATCACAATATCGTCATCTCATAGAGCTCGTAGAACAATTTTAAGATAACGATAATAAGTTTTAAACTAAGCTATTACGAACTCTCAAGTAAGGTAAATCTGCTAATGCCATAATATCAATGGCTGTTGCTCGCGACTTCGCACGCGTTCAATTATAAAATATAGCCTATGTTACTCAGCGATAACGTAGCTTTCTAATGGTGAAAGAATTTTTGCAATCGGTTCCGTAGTTTTTGAGTTATTTCGATACATACAAAAATACAATTCTTTTATCTTTATAATGTTAGTATAGATGAGGTTTCTTTTCTAAAGCCTTTCCAACTGTTAGAATGCAACAATTCTAGACTCATCTTAAATACTAGCTTTCGCCCGCGACTCCGTCTTCGTGGAATAAAAAAAAACAAAAGTGAGTAGTCTATGTGTTCTTCCAGATTATCCTTTACGTCTATGCTAAATTTCATCAAGATCCGTTCAGCCGTTTAAGCTACAAACTCTAACAAACATTCATATAATACTAAATAGTAAGATAACACGATATTTATGATCGTATATCTATATCGTTCAACAACTGTTACGCTATATTTAAATTAATATTTGTTTATCGACGAAGGAAGCTATGATGCGCACGCGTCTACCTTTGTATCGTGCACCTGTGTAACTTACACTATACTGTACCTTGTAGCTCGCTAGTACTATTGTTGACATTGTTCAACATTCTATCTATTTCCAACCTTATTTCAAGTTCTAGAAGTTTTAAAATCAAATTTCCTTTCTTATAGACAGTTTTCTATGTTGGTATGATGCTTTATCCCATGCTTTAAAACTCATGTAATGAACACTAGGGTAACTATAACGTCGTTTCTATCCTGCATAGTAACGGTGTTTATTCAGAGTGGGGTAACAGGTTAACGCTACACGGCTAGGGTTGCCAAATTTAATTAAAACTTAGATCCAAAGACCGAATTTCCTAATGACCTAAAAATGGCGTCTAACCGTTGATCCTAAAATCTACCGACTTATTTTACAACACCCACGCTTGAAAACATTTTATATTCGGATATTTACATACAAACCCGAATACAGGTCAAACTCGATTAATGGCAGCCCTAGTTTGGACGCACCCTGCGTGTGCGAGCAACGCCGCGTGACGTGATACGGTCGACTGAGCAATGCATCGAAATAATACACCTTGTTCCGATCTATAACTTTAGCATTTTGACCATAAACAAACTTCACATGTAACTAAAACGAAATCATACTTATTATTTTTATAAATGCGAAAGTTTAGATGGATGTTTGTTAGAGTTTGTAGCCTAAACAGCTAAACCGATTTGAATGAAATTTGGTATAGATATAGAGGATAGTCTGTGAGAACACATGGACTGCTTTTTTAGTTTTTTTAATACCACGCGGACGAAGTCGAGAACGAAAACTATATTTTGGACTGAACACATTATGACAGAGAGCTGGTTCCCCAAACTACTTATCGGATTTTCCCTCTGTTACATACAATCGGGTATTTTTGAATCTTTAACCAGTAATGGTATTCAAATTGCTAATGTTTAAACTTCCTAGTCGCTATGGGTCTTTCTAAAATGGCTTCTCATGAAGGCGGCGGTACTCAAAAGACCCTATCACCACAATCAGTGCAATTAAGTGGCCGATCTCAGCCGGAGATTGCTAGCTATCTGTAATCCACCACTACAAATAAGTGCTGTTTCATAACGTCTTATCTTGTGATTACATCTCATAGAAATATAAAGCAAAGTTCAAATGTTAATCTTGAAAATAAAACATATTTCAAATTTAGATGCCTTACTATCTTTATTTCCTTTTCACTACGAGGGATTGGATCTTCTCTTTGTTTATCTCAACATTATCCTCTTCCTTCTTATCCTATTCCCGTAGGGCGCAACAGGTTTTTGTCCTCCACATAACTCTTATCATACGTCATCTGTCATCACTCACTTTTCATGTCACCTTTCACGCAATCCATCCATCTCTTTCTATGTCTACTTCTACTGGTGTACCACACTCATAACTAACGTTCTTCTTGTAACATGCGATTCATCCCTCATAACGCATATCCTCTTCAAAAAAACTATCCATACTTTCTTTTGTTATACAGTTTGTTATTGAATCTCCAGTTTAAAACAGATCGGAATTCATTCGACATCCAAGTAATTTGAATTTCAAAGTATAATCAGTTTTGCAGATTGTTTGCAATTTGATTCGTGCTCAAGGCATGGTCTTTTATCTTTGTGATGAATTCCTTAGTCACTAAGTTTGTATTCATAAATAGCTCGTAAAATACAAAGAGTAAAACCTACTTCATTCTTTGCCTTAAAACCTGGAGTAACATATTTTTTTCGTTAACATAGTTTACCTATATCATAAGATCCTTGGGCACAACTGTTATGCGATTGTCGATTGTTTCGCAGCCAATTCAAATGTTTATTTTCACAACTAAACATTGAGAAGTGTCCCTACCTCTATAGGAATAAAGGCGAGACTGCAGCGTGCGATAGTTTACTCAAAGTTGTGCAGACGCTGTAAAGTTAAACTCTTTTAATAATTAATTTCTTTTGCTATCGTTTAAAACCATATTGTGCGATATAATAGAATATCAGCGCTTATTTTTATACTGTAACTAGCTGTTCCCGTGCGACTTCATCCGCATGAAATTATGAAAATGTTATTGTTTACATCTGTCAAATTATCAATTACAAATGTCAAAATGACATGGCATAATGACAACCTTGCTTCCTTGGTGTTGGCAGCAACTTATGGTCTCTTTCCCACATTCGGGTTTTTAGCCAAAATATTTACCCCCTAAGTTCAATGGCGTTAAAATATATAGCCTAAAGCGTGACGCAATTGTAGGGCTTTTTATTAAAAAAAGAATTATTCAAAAATATGCTGTAATTACTGACATCTTAGGTAACAAAGAAGTGTGCGTTTACGCTTTATTATAACAGTATAGATAAGCACAAAGCTGAGTAAAGGCCTAATCCAATCATAGCAAACTTAGTTAAAAATAATATTCATAACTTTTATATTTACTAGTGTGTTCTTTTTGTTGTTATTTGTAAGATTTTTTCCCTACGTCATTATTTTTGCCTTCTGAATGAATTAAATGGCTTTGCTGTATTATTATTGTTATTAACTATATAAAGTTTATTTAGTACTTGTAAAGATGTTGATTAAAATAACTCGTTCATATTTCGCTTCTCGATCATGTTACCGTCTCAGCATCAAGATCATATGGCATGTACGGTCACTTTTTACAACTACATGCCTTTCTTACACGTACGCTGTATACTAGATACAGTTATAATGTATATATGCTTTTATCTACTGTGTCTAAGTGCACGTTGCATATATAACCCTCAGATCTTTGATCATTACTTATACTGCCTTCAGGAATTCTGCTACTGTCGATTTGTTAAACACAAGTAGTTGCTCGCGACTTTGCCCGCGTGAAATTAAAAAAAAATGGAACAAAGACAGTCTATGTTAGTTACTGTTAACGTAGCTTTTTAATGGTGAAAGATATACATACAACATACAGAAATACAAATGTTAGTATAGATATCTAATCTATAGATTTAACAAACAAAACTAGCAAGTATAAGTGTATTAGTAACCATAAAATAAGTCTGAGTTCCGAATGAATTGTAGATTTTCTATTTCATTTACATTTAAAGAATGCTTAAGTAAAAAAAACTGCGATAGTTAGGTTCTGGCGTAGATTAATTAAAATAAAAACTATTCACGTAATACGAAAAGGGTTATTATTACCCCAAGCGTTACCTGTACAGCCTCCCCCACCTGTTACCCGATTCTTTCTCGCTCGCACTTGCGCGCGCGCAAGGTTGCGCTCTTCTTCCATTTTGAATTCAGATTATTTCCATCTTACCTGCGGAGTGGACGTGTTCGTGACGTGTTGTGTCTGTGCTGCCACCTGTGTTTTGTGCTAGTGTTTGTGCTGTGCTGGGAGATGTGAAGTGTTATTAACACAGAAAAAATGCACTACAAACTTTTTAAAAGGTATTTCTTTATATAAATGTTACTTTTATTTGACGTGTGGACGTGGTAATTATTTTTTTATAACGATGGACTTTGTGATACGTTGTATTAGATTTATTTTTTTATTTATATATACGATTAACAGGATTCAAGTTTCTTTACTTAAACATAACTTAATATGTCGTTTGATTTCGTCTATATGTGTTTGTTAAGTGATCGTTATTTTAAAGGTTACGTTCAGGTTTTAAGTAATTAAAGTGGTTCCTTTAAAAAACATTCTTCATAGAAGGCAGTTCCGAGTAAAATCTATTGTTTATGCTTTATAACTTTAAATACTTGATTTATAAGTTCTAAGTAATGTTTAAACGAGGAACTTAATGAGTAATTCTGGGTACTTTCAATGAGTTCCCAGAAAACACGTTTAACGTAAACTGGATTATCTATTTTGTATTTATTTCAATTGAAAAGATATTTCATAATGACGTCTTTTAGACTTATATTAAATGAAGAACGAATTTAAAAATTTAAACATGATGATGACCTATGAAGGTTTTTTAAGACACAAAACTCATTAAAAATATGAAAATAATAATATATAGCCTAGTATTAAGTAAATAAACTAATTTTAAGTTGAACGTAATTAGTAACTTAACAGTTACAATACACTGTTCACTGTCAAAACATATATATGAACTTATAATTAAATAAACAAACTATGTATAATTTTCTAAAGTCACTTGACGTCTTTAAAAAAAACGTACTTGAGTATAATGACGACAAACCGGCGCCTAGAAACAAAATCATAGCAAAAAAGTAAGCATAAAAACTTTTAAGATTTTCTTCACTTAATCGTGTACTTGAACTTCTTAACAAGCTAAATGGGATGGTTTCACTTGAATGAAGTGGATTAACTTTTGTTTGTCAAGTTATTCTAATACAGGTATAAAAAAGTTTTTACAGA